ATTGCTGAAGGAGAGTTGTGAGGCAGGAGGGCCAGCTGCTGAGAGCCCCAAGCACAGCGAGGCTGGTAGTAGCGGGCGAAGGGCCTCAGCAGCCTGGCGGCAGTAGCTGTGCCATGGTAGCAGGGCAAAGCAGCCCGGCAACCTAGCTGGAGCCGGGGCAGCCTGTGTGTGCCAGCCCAGCAGTGGGGTTGTGCTGCGGTAGCCCAAGAGGGGCTGCATGCCAGCCCAGCTTGCTGGCAGCAAAGCCATCTGCATCCGTGGCAGGTCAACAGCCCAACTGGGGACACATGCTGGCTGGCAGTGTGGCTGGGGCTGTGTGAGGCTGGAGCGGCAGCTATGGCAGTGCAGCTGGGGCAGCTGTGTGGAGGGAGTAATAGAGGGCTGATAGCAAGGGACCTTCCCTGGTCAGGCAAATTCTCTCAGCCAAGACTGCTCAGGTCCCAAAGGTGCTGGACCAGTGAGGTCCAACCTGTACGTTTAGGAGCAAGACAACTTCCATTGGTGTAAGTGCACCTATGTCTAATGTATGATCTCTTTTTTTTTCCCCCTTACCAAAGAGAGCAAGCTGACTCTAGTATCTTATTGCTTGATCTGTTAGGTTGTTTTTAAAACTTTTAATCCAAAAAGCAATGTTTTGATATAGTATCTGGCTTAGTCAGGAAGAGGAAGTTTGTAATCCTAAACAGCTATTTCACTAATCTGATCATGAATCTCAAATTCTTTAACTAGTGCTATCAGTGAAATACAGATATGGTTAACATAGGAGATAGAAGTGTATCTGTGGAGCATTTAATCAGGAAATTAACACACATTCACATCTCTTCTCAAGCCTTGATGCAAATGGGGGCACATGGTATGTTGTGGAAACAAACTATGATCGTTGGCAAGCTCCCCTTGTCTTGGATGACCGTAGAACACCTGCAATGAAGTGCATGAACCAGACAAAGCAAGAGGTAAATATTGTAAAAAAACTTAATTTAGCATTTTGAAGTTCTGTGAACTGAAGCTACCTCATAGTGAGGATCTGCTCTAACCATTGCAGTTGCATTAGCTTGGTAACAAGAACATGCATGCAAGTCTTAAGGGAGTAGCCATGTTAGTCTATATCTGCAAAAACAAAGAGGAGTCCTGTGACACCATAGAGACTAAACAGATTTATTAGGGCATAAGCTTTCGTGGGTAATACCCACTTTATCAGATGAATTGGAGTAGAGTTTACAGAAGCATAGGTGTGTATATATAAGAACAACAAAAGAAAGAATCTACTTCGTTTACACAAGTACCCTCTATTTTTTTTTAATAACCATTTTCCTGCTCTGGCCTGAGGCTTTCACTGCTCTGCATTTTTAAACTTAAATTTCGGAAACATCTTTTTCTTCTGTAGTACAAACAGGTAGGGGTAGAACTGATAATATAAAAACAATTCCTAACCTAAATACAGGAATTGCTTCATACATGAGTGAAATACAGCAGCTGACTTAACAGGTACCTTATGCTATAAAACTGCCATACCTGTATCAAAGTCTAGCCTGCCAATCTCCCATCCAGAAGATGGTTGGGGAGTTGCATATTCTTTCGGTCTGCTTTATCTTTATAGGTTACACAATCAGCAAAGATGATAGATCACTGTTCTTAGCATGATCTTGTTACATAATTTATGTAAACATGAGCTACTGTAAACCTAGCTAATTGCACTCTTCTCTTTCAGAACATCTCCCTATCAACCATCTATGATGTTCTCTCCACAAAACCTATCTTAAATAAGGTAACCATATTTTCCCATTGCTTGCAATGGTGGTGTTTTTCACAATGTGGGCACATTACTTGAGACCAGATTCAGTGGAATTTCACCTTTTTACTCTGGTTGATCTGTGTATATTTTGGTAGAAATTTGAAACAAACAAAGCAAAACCCCTTAGTCTTGAAAATGTAAAAAAATAACCAGGAAAACAGTTACTGAAATATCAGTGAGAATGCAGTGATCATACCAGTTTGTAAGAGGATGTGTAGCAAATCCAGTTAATTCAAAGAAATGAGGATGACTGTCTCCTCATTTCCGATAGCAATCAAATTACACAAGCAGGGGAAAGCACTACTATGACATTACTAGTAAAAATTTCCTCAAAATATGTTTGCAGAGTTCTCAGGCACTCTGCAAAATGTATAGAAAACCATTTAACCTTGTATCTGTAAATAGATGAAGCAAAAACACTTGGCTTGAGATTTGACTGAGATCAGATTCACCCTTACCCAGGAATTTACAGCTTAAAGATCCAAGGAATAAATCCGGTCTAGTTTGTTTACAAATTGACTCTCCCCACACACATCTGTCCTCCTTAGTGCCAGGAGCAAGGAATGTAATGTCAAGGAGCATGGAAGAGAAGTGTTGATGTTGGTTTTTTTGGTTTTTTTTGTTTTTTTGTGACAGAGATAAATTGTAAGATAATTTCTCCTCTTATAAATACAGACTCAAATTCATTACCGAGATTCTGGGCTTTCATTAAGGATCAGTACAAAACTGGTTAATTAGCAATCCACATAATTTAGAATTCTTCTAACTTTTGGGTTGCAGCTCAGGGTGCTACTTCCCAGCATGTTTAGAGTTTTTCTCTTAACATATAGAATGGACACTTGTCAGTTCTTCAGTGGGATTAGGATTAAGTCTAGTTACAAGTGATCATAGTGGTTATATCCTAGGTTTTGGTTTTTTGTGTGGATAGCAGGAACATATATTCATATTCTTGCTTTTACAGTATTAATGTAATACAGGCAGTCCCCGACTTACGCGGATCCGACTTATGTCGGATCCGCAGTTACGAACGGGGCTGCGGAGCAAAGCCCCGGAGGGGCTCGGGCAGCGAGGCAGCCCAGGCTTCCCCGAGGCTTTGCAAAGCCGCAGGTGGGGGAGGGAGGGACACTGGGGCAGCCCAGACGCCCCGCGGCTGGCCC